CATGTATCAGACAATAAATTTAATACATAAGTACTCAGTGTGTTATAGTGTGTTAGTCGATGAATTGATACATGAATTAGATGTGTATCATATGATTTCCTACGTATCAAGAGTTTTTTAAAAATTGTTATTATGTATCAGTCAATAAGTTTAATAACTGCGTCATCAAGTGTGCTTGCTGATACATATCGATTCAGTGTGTTATAGTGTTTAGACGATGCATTGATACATGAATTTGATGTGTATCATATGATTTTCTATGTATCACGAGCTTTTGAAAATTGTTATCATGTATCAGTCAATAAGTTTAATAACTGGATGTTCATAAAAATATCTTCAAACTAGATGATATAATCTCGAATTTTCAAAATTTGAAATTGTTATCCAATTACGTGCTGAATTAATGCTTATTAATGAACTGTTACCGTAATTTAAGCTGATTTAGATAACAAATTTAAATGTTCTGTTTTTCCCCCCTTTTAATCTTAACAGTTTTAAGTTACTGTGTATCATTTATCATGTATCACAACATACTAATGTATCACGCCACAACAATTTTAAGGGATTATTAGTAAATACTAAATTTGTCGGGACAGAATGTAATTATTATATTACACTATGGGATTCCTTAAATGTATACATAATAATAATAATAATAAATGAGCTTCTTAATTTTACGAAACCAAATAATCGACTTAATAATGAAATAACTAATTAAAATATAAACTCATATATAACTAAACTAGTTAGTAAAATATTTAAACAAAGTAAAATATTTTTGCTATGATTTTTGAGTAATCATAAAAATATATTATTATACACATAATTACGCAAAGCATACGCTATCTAAAAGTTATAAATGTAACCATGCTAACTTAGAATAACTTGAAAATCATTTTATTTTATATGAATTCTTTAAACTTTATAAATCTAATTATCTCGAATCGTTTAGAATTAAAAGGCTCATTAATTAATTATTATCGAAGAGGGTTAAAATTGAGTGTCAACAACAATATCAACAAAAAGATTATTAGACAATTCACTTTAGATATTTTTATTAAAATGAAGGAAATGAAAGGAAAAAAAGGAAACAATGCGCATCATTTATTAAAAGTATAATTGAAAATGTACCCTTATTTAAATTTGTATACAGAATATTTTAAACAATTTCATATAAATAATAGGCTAAATAATATATCTTTATTTATCTAAATTATTCAATATTTTATTTTTGTGCAAACCTTGTCAAATTAAATGTTATAATTAATAATTTTTTGTATTTTTACTGCTATGTAACCGCTATCTTGATTACAATAATGTTCCTGGTACCATATTTGATAATTAAACATAAACATATATGAAAATTGATATTAAGAAATGAAATGATTAAACAATATAAATAAACAGAAGACATACTAATAGAAAAGAAAATAAGGTAAACTATACATACTTCTCCCAATTTATTTTCCTTGACAAATAACTTCAGTCTATGTTAGATTTCCAAGTTTTCAAAATAATAAAATTCAAGACTAAAATTCTAATTGCCACTAATATTGTTTTTCAAAAGGACAACGTCAAAAATTGTGTTTCAACATAAATTTGACAAAAATATTTCAGTTGATTTTGCTATTATGATTATTTTAATTTTTGATTCATTCTTTTTTTAATACAAACTTTTACTCCCAAAATGGACGAAAAGACAAATAAAAAGAACAGGATTTTTTTTTACAAAATATCAATCCTCTTACTTTATCATACTTGATGTTAATAGGAAAAAAAAAGAACAATCAAGAAAATCAATCGCCTCTGTTTCAAAATTTGGCAACTATATATATAGTCAAGAAATCACTAAGAAAAAAAAAATGTTTACCAAATATCGGTAATCGATATATTATTCTGTCAAACACCTGATGTTAGATTAAGAAAAAAAAGAACAATCAAAAAAATAAATCACTTCTGTTTCATAATCATGCAAATAACATATAATTAAAAAAAGAGAAAAAAGTTTACCAAATGTTAATAGTTAATATTTTATTCTGTCAAACACCTGAGTTTTTGTAAAAAAAGAACAATAAAATTTGAAAAGTGTATTCATGGATAATTATTCATGGTAAAAAGTTCAATAATAAAGACGGGCAAAAATTAAAATTTGTTGTCATTTTATAATTAAAATAAGATAAAAAAAAGGGAATAAATAAATAAATTATTAAGAATAGAAATTAAAGAGATGTGAGTTATGAATAATAACTTGGCATGTGAGAATTCTTTGTTGTAAATGTCCATAATTAATAAATATATATTTGTAATAAGTTAAGAAATTCACTTTTATAATAAAATAATTAATTTAAATAAGAAATAAAAGCCCAAAAATAAGGAGAAAAATGATAAATTTAAATGAAGGCCATAGAGAGGTGCCACATCACCTACTTTAGGTTTCTCCTTTATATTATATTAAGAATAAGATTAAGATCGGGTAAACACATAACTCATTAAGACAGTACTAATTTGTTACTTTACCCCTACATAAATATTAAATATTAATATCAATACCTTAATGGTTATTATATTTGTCATTTGCCTTCAATTCACATAATTTGTATAATTTTGTTCTTTTAATTTTAGTTACTATTGCTTCTATTTTATGAGCATTTCGTAAAATTACACAATTGTCTTGTTGTGCAAATTATTGGAGTAATTATTTTATAAGCATTTTATTATTGGTTAAACTAAAATTCGAACCATCAAGGATAAAAAACAAATTGACAATCGATAAAAAATATTTTATTGGTTTTGTTATCGATTTAGTGTATTTGAAAATCAAAAACTAATAAACCGTATCAAAATACATAGAAGGAAAAATTGTACATAATAGCAAATATTTAAACCATATTAAATGTTGTAGTTACTAACAAAGCAAACAATGAATTACATCTCTATAGTTTCGCCTAATTCGTATTCCTAATGGAATAAATTCAAAATTTTGTTTATGCTTACCCAGTTATCCTAACTATTTCTATACGATTTATGAAAAAATCATAATAAGAATGCATAACTAATATGGACCTCAATGGCCTTGCCTAGGCATAGATTATTGGTATAATTCGCTGTACATGGTAGACTTCTAACGCAAGAGAGGAAAGTGAGGCTCTCCATTTAAGATGATGAGACTGAGTATTGCCTATGTGATGAACAAGTGATCGAGACTAATTCTCACTTGTTTGAGCATTGTAGATGGACTAAAGAAGTTCTATTAGAGAACTAGAGATGTAATTCATTGTTTGCTTTGTTGGAGGCCTCATTTCTCCTAATAGAAATAAGGTGCTTTAATTCATTGTTTGCTTTAATTGTAATTGTTCTTTGATGGTTATGATATCTTTTACGGTTGTTATCAAAAAATAAAGTTCTCTTATTACCATTATTTCCTTAGTGTTATAAATCCCTCATTTTCACACATCAGATTAATGTATCTCGTGCATCAAATTAATGTATCAGCGCATCAGATTAATGTATGATGTATAAAATGTACCTCGAATCAGTGTATCATGTATAAATTGTAATGTATCTTACTTAATGATTAATTTATCTCGCGTATCAGATTAATGTATCAACGCTTATATTATATATCAGTTTGAGGAATTTCTGTAATTATAAAGTTATAAGGGACAAACAGTAATTCTGCTTTAAAAATATGTGATTTCTTTCCTGTGCCCATAAATACATTGACAAGCTAAATATACAGACGGAGTTCTGAAATTCATAAAGGTATAAATACAAAATTTGTATATACTTACTCTATTTGTATATTCACAAACAAAATATACAAACCACAACCCACATATCAAATAAAACTATAAATATGAAATACAATTATCGAAACTAAACCCGTAAAACGTTAATATGTCTGCTATATTTATTATTTCTATTTTCTCTACGTAAAATCAAACTAAACTAAACCATATTTATTTTTGGTTCTTTTTTTCCCAACAAATGGTGACTAATTTGAAGTTTTTTTGTTCAGTTTTGTTTCTTAGATATTAATTTGGAAGTTTGTTGTTAATAGTTCAATATGACTTTTTTAAGTCGAAACCAAAAAAAGTGTTTAATTAATTGTATTAAATTTAGTTTAATTAACTATTTTTCCTCCCTAAAGTTTCATCTAAAGCCATAATTGTCATTATTGATTTTCTCATCGTCTCTTACTTTCTCTCTCTAAGCGTCAATGGCGTCCTCGAATTTCGCGCTTCTACTTCTCGCTTTCTCTCTCCTCGCCGTCTCCGCCGCCGCCCGGCCATGCAAAACCCTATTCTTCATCACCTCCACTTCCTATTACCAGATCCCCACAACTATTTCTCGAAACCCTAACCCTAACCCCAATTTCTTCCTCCGTAACCCCTCTATTTCTCCTCGATTCCGTGCTTTCTTCGTCACCACCTCCGGTTTCCGTGACGATGCTCCGAGATTCGGACTTCTTAGGCCATCAGTTTTCTTCCGAAGATCCGACCCATTTCTAATCCGTGGACCCGACCCGGTTTTCTTCGAACGAGAGGACGCTGTTGAACATGTGGAAGATGGAGAGGAACTGGAGAGCCGATCATCGTCGATGATTCCGGTGGAACTTTACTCGTCGGTGACGAGCTCAATCCGTGACCGGACCAAGGATATTATGAGGGTTGTTGGAGCTTTGCTTTTCGGTGTGGGTTGTGGTGCGTTAACTGCTGCGAGTATGTATTTGATCTGGTCGCTTTTCTGGCCTAACCGCTTCGAGTTTGAGGATTCTGATGATGAGTTCGAGGACGGAAATGACGATTATGATGTTACCAGTGCTAAGAAGATGGGATATGTGGCGATTCCGACTAAAGTTGTGGATGATGATTTGAAGAAGCCTGCTGCTCCGACTAAAGAAGTGGTATGAAAGGTGGTCTCTATGTGTAAGTGTTTGGTTAATAGGGGAACGTTTAAACATTTCTGCTTTTTGTTGAATGCATTTGTTATTGATGCTTCAAAAATTGATGAACAAATGTGTTGAATTACAGTGACTTTACTTTTGTTTATATGTTAGTATTGTAATGGAGGAGTGCATCCTCCATGTTCATTGGGTAGTATATCGTGTATTCACCATCGAACAAATATAAAAATTATGATGGTTTCTTATAATGTGATGTGCAATGCGCTACTCCTTGTGTTAAAGATGATAACTTGGAAGCTGACATTGTATTATCTGTGTGTTTCGGGTAGGACCTTGTAATTTTTTTGGATAGCCAAGGTGTCTGTGTCAGCTTGTGTGTATGTCAACTAGTTCCATGGGATAACGCTACCTCTCACTAACGGGTGACTCCGACAGTAGGACTTGGTAATTATGTCTTTGGATTTATTATGTGTCTGCCAACATGATCCATGCACCAGAATTGTGATTTCCCATTCTGTTGCAGGTTTGCTACCAGTTTCTTTACTAGTTATTTAAGTTAGGGTTAGTAACTTTGTTTGAGTTGAGGGAATTCCAGAATATTTTTTCTTTGACTTTTGTTATAGTGTGCGTGTTGTGGCTTAATACAATTAAGGGGTCGTTTGGTATGTTTTCAAAAGCATAGATAGTCCCCGGATAAAAATTTTGTATTGCCTTATCCGTTGTTTGGTGCCTTATCCCCTGTTTTGTTACTAATCCTGGGATAAGTTATATCATACTTAGTAATTAGTAGCAGGATAAGTTTTCAGTGTCAGAGGATGGATTACTAGTACCGGGATACCCTTCAGGACATACAAACCCTTTTTCTACTCGATAAGGTGGAGGGTATTTTTATTAAGAAGCAACTCTTTCTTAGATATTATGGAATTCATGTTGTTTTTAATACAACAAAGGAAACAGTCAATAAAAACTATTCCATACATAAACTAATCCCAGCATAATTTGTCTTTAAACCAGTTCACTCTGTTTATTGCTGCTTATCCACCTTGCATCACCTCTAATATGAATAGTTTTTATTTGCCACCACAATCACAGTTTTAAAAAAGCATTATTTTTTAGAAGTGTCTTCATCAAATTAAACTTGTAATATGATTGTTCATAGCTTATCAAATATGCTGCTCTGATTGATATCTTGCATCAGCATCTCAGCAATACCATCACTCAGTCGTATTCGTACCTCAAACATCTGTCTCTCCCTTAGATTTCAATGCTTTAATTGCCAATTCACGACAGAGCTTTAGATTTGATCATTAGAGTTATGTTAGGAAAGTGTTTTGACCATTTTTTTCGCTTTTGTTTTATTTTCGGGACCTTTGCCGAATATGGATGGGTTTGGGCAAAGGAGTAGAGAGAGACAGGCTTGGCAGTAAGTTTGTTACTACATTGACTGACAGTTGTTGAACATATCATGTGTAATCTGGATTTTCCTGTGGTCAGTGAGATTTCTTATTATGCCAATTCACGACAGAGCTTTAGATTTGATCATTAGAGTTATGTTAGGAAAGTGTTTCGACCATTTTTTTGCTTGTTTTATTTTCGGAGCCTTCGCGGAAGATGGATGGGTTTAGGCAAAGGAGTAGAGAGAGATGGGCTTGGCAGTATATTTGTTAGTACATTGACTGACAGGTGTTGTAAATATCACTTGTGATCTGGATTTTCCTGTGGTCAGTGAGATTTGTTATTATTGCATTGATCAAGGAGGGCCAAGCTCTCAAGGTTGAAAGGACCCCAATACCCAGACAATATGTAAAATGAACTCTCACTTATATTGCTTGATGATGAGTTCAAATGTTTGGTTTGTTGTGCTGTGTCTTAACTATATTGAAGAAGATGTGTTTTGTGTACGAACCTTAATACAATATTGTCGTTGGTGCCAATAATTGTCTTTCTATTTGTTGATACAAGTAAATTGGAAGCCATTTGTCACCGACTTTGGAGCACCTCTGAGAGGTTTATATAAGGTCTACTTTCATAGAGGGCATGATTTTCTGGGTTCTGCCCACTTTTTTTTTGAGAATGGTAACAGTTCTACGTTTTGCCGACTTATCATGTAATTGTCGCACTGTCTATTTGCATACTAAATAGCTGGATGAGCTGCCTGCTTAAGTATCATCATTCAAGATGTCTAGCTAAGCTATGCTCTTCTTGTAGTTTCTTGTTTGCAGTATGCTGAGTTCGCTGTCTCATAGTAGTAAGATTGAGTGCTATACATTGTCTAATGAAAGGAACTCTGATGTTCTCTGAAGGTCTATTCTTGCTTAATCCGTACTTGCTAGCTACTTCACTATATTCTGGATGTTCGAGAACAGTTCTTCGTATTCTCTTTATTGTGATAATTGTAAACTGGTTCGGCAGAGTGCAGTTGACAGTTGTTTTTTCAATATGCTAGTTGATTTTGGACTAAACTCTTAGTAAAGTTTCCATTTGCTGCTTACCATAACTATTTTTGCCACCACCTACCAACTGTATTCTCTACCGGCAATGAAAAGGTTGCTACGATTACTTCACTGGTAGTTGCTGGCACTCGATTAGTAGCGTTGCCACAATTCAGGATGCTGGACAAGAAATCACTGATGGAATATATACAAGCTATTCCTTGGTATCAGTTTTTATATTTGATAAAACTGATTAATTGAGAATTGAGGATAATAGTTAAGCCCAATGGTATATTATTGAATTTGGGCCTGACTGGCTAAAAAGCCTCATCTCTTTCATGTTAGTTTGCATTTTGACAAATAGCCACTTTTAATAGTACATGTTATTAAAAATTAATCACCATTGTAAAAGCTATTATTATTCTTTCGGATAGGAAGGTGTGGAGGATTCGGAAAAAAATTAGGGTAGAATATTAGCAGGTTGGAATGCCTATATTAGTAGTCAGAGTGTTTTGTACTAATAGTTGTAGGACTAGTCTTGTATTTGCTTATTCTTTGATTTTTTGTGAGTGTATTATTTCGTATAGTTTGTTTATATTAGAGTAATAGTATTTCTTTTTTTTGTAGTACTATTTTGTTTCTATTTGTTGTTTTGTTACCATCTATCGTCTGTTGTACTTTGATTATATATTTTCCTAGATTTGTTTTTGCCTTTGAGCTGGATGTTTATCGGAAACAACTTCTCTACCTTACGTTTAAGGTAGAGGTACACTCTATCCTCTTTAAAACCTTTTCGTATGAGACTACTTTGAATTTGTTATTGTCGTGATAGCTTTTGAAGTTTGAAAAATGATTTGACTTAGATATTCTATTTTATTATCAGTAACAAGCCTTTATAATTCTTACAGACAAATGTTATGGCATGATAAAACTGCAAGTTTTATAGTTGCATTATGGTGTGTTCAAGTTTGTTTTGAAGCTCTGTCATGATTCAAAATGAATGTTATGGTACTCGTCTTATCCCACAAGACAAGTCAGTCAAAAATTTAAATAATAATGCGGAAGCAAAGTGAGAATAAAAGTCAAATACTATCAGTTCTATTGTATTACAATAGATATAAGAGAAATAAACAAGTTTCAAATGACATTGTTCCAAAGTAAAACATGATGATAAATAAGTGTGACAAGGTCTGTTGAGATGACAATCTAATAGGCTCATAACCTATACAAATGTAGAAGTAAGAGGTGAGTATCAACTATATGGTACTCATCAAGCGAACTCTTAAACAAACGCTAAGAATATAAAATATCGGTACTCCTATCACTCCGGTTGAACCTCTGCAACTACAATCTGCATGAAACCGAATCAACCTAACAGTTCACAAATTTATAGCACACAACTCAATTACAACATTTCAACAATTACACATCAACAAACACACGAGATTAATTGATTAATCACAATCACTGAAAGACATTCACAAGTTTACAAATGATAAAGATATGCAATGCCAAATATGATGATGTATGTATGACCTAGTGATATACACCCGTTGTTTTTTCAATCTAGGGCGCACAAACATATTTGTCCACGCATCTTCCGCGGTGTGCTACACGACTCTCGATAATAAATCTGTTGTGGCGTGCGACACGTCCCTCAAATCATATTATGTCATACTCCACACGTCCCTCGTAATGTCATGACTATGTCTCAGAATCAATGCAAATGATATGTTAACACGATTAATGAGGAGATGATTATTTCCATAACCATGCACAGTTCATAAAAATTCAATCGTGATACAACATCAACAATGAATAATTAAGCCTTTCAAACCATTCTTAAATCATCACACACAATAATTAATCACATTGCTTTTTATTATCCATTTTTCGTCATTAGAATTATTCAATATGGACAAGTCAAGCTATCACCAAGTCCCTCCTAGCACATATCACATGGAAACACACGACTCTATACACTTAACAAGGGATCTAAAATTCACTTGCTTCAAGTTATTGAACAATCACTTCGGGACTTAAGCCTTACTCTTTCGTTGGCCTTCCAAATCGAATCAATGCAATCTATTCAAATAAATTATAAAAAAATTTGGTCCATTAGCTACCAATTAAATTAATTATCTAAAAATTATCATCAATTAATTAACTATAGCTACACTTATAGTTCAAAATTTCCAACTAACTTCACAAACTGATCTTTGGGGCAACTATTCGGAGTTTCGAAACGTTAATTTTTATGATTTTTTTTTATACTTTCTTAGGATGTGTTTGGTTGTGAGGATTTTCACTTTTTCCTCTTTATTTAAAAATTAGAATTTAAAATATCCTGAACATTATTTCAATTTTATAATTTTTTCTCTTTTAAACTTATTATACACACACACACATATATATATATATTCAAATTCTAAATATTTATTGTAAAACTAAAAAACATGACAAACATAATTTAAAATTTGAAGTTCAAAGTTCAAATAGAGTCAATCGTTATTTATTTTCATGACCAAATCGTTATATCACATAATTCAAATATAAATAAATAAATTCAATTGAGTTCGCAGAACCGATCTTTACTTAGGCAGGTGAATGTCAATACTTGAATCAAAAATTACTTTTTTTTTTTATCAGAAACTGAAAAATTCCTTCCAAAAATGTTGCTACTATATTTAATTTGCAACAGCTTATGCATTTTCTACAACAGGTATTACATTTATTGTGCTTGTGGTTGAGAAATTTATTATGCTAACAACTTTTTATCTTCTCCGAATATTAGCTTGTGTTTGAATATACAATATAAAATTATGATTTTAATTTAATATTTGAATACG